TTACACACCTGAGTTGAAAAACAATCACAATAGCATTCCTATCATAACGTAAAACTACACAAAATACTAATTTCCCGACACCCTCCATTACCCCTTGACACATCCAAATTTCAACCCTATGAGAACCACTGGCCTAGAACCGTATCACTCAATTAGCACACAATTGTAATCTTATTACCGAACTCATTAGATATATCAATGATGTTCACCAAACTCGTAAAATCCTATCATGACCACAACGGCCTTAAAATGATAATAATAACCTATATATCATTGTAAGTCTGAACTACTTTGAGCACATCAAACAATTAATCAGTCGATGTGATTATCACTTGATATAACTTATACAAGAATCTCATTCAGACGTTGAAATCAGCTATCTCATCGACACGACTAACAACGAAAATCGACTCCTTTGAACACGTTCCAGACAAATGTCTTCTCGAAGTTTTGAGCAAGCTTGATGCCGATACCATTTGCACATTGCGTCTGGTGAATAAACGATTGAATAATTTAATTCAGGTCAGTCATTCGGTCACATAAAGCTCACACGTTGCAGTTGTCTTTCTGATTCCTAATGGGCGTTCCATCTAGGACATTTCACATGATGCCTCATATCGCTGAGTGATTTCATAATCTAAACAAACTCCGTTACAACAGATCGCGTTTCGATCAATATTGCATGGTTGAGAGAACATGAGAATTACTATCTTCAAGATATCCGCATGCTTAGATTTACTGGCGATCCCAACAGTTTCTTCCTCTTATAAAATGAAACCAATTCTCTTAAATCAGATGAATATATATTTCATCATCGATTGATAACGATAATTTCGGCATTTATGCATCTCAGACTGCCAAGCGATTTTATTAGGCCACATACGTCGGAGCACATGCGGAAGACTCAGTAGTACAAAAATACGTATATATTTATCAATTTTTGCTGACTTCTACTAAACAGTTCAAAATTTCAACCAACATATAGCAATATTCTTCAGTATCATTGAAATTACAGCGTCATCATGATATGCTGGCGAGGAAGCCTGTAAAAGGAGTACATATGAGATTCGAAACATCAGATGAGGTTTGTCGAGTGCGATATTCAGAACATTCCACAAGCGATCCCCATTCAAAGGTTTCAAAGAAATCCACCATAAAGGTACGTGAATCAACAGTTTGATAGAATATTTCCTTATATTATCAGTTTTGGAACGTTTACTTCTTGTAAAAGAATATTATTTCACAGAAAGAGCAATGATAAGTTTTTGTGCCAAATAATTTTTTCCTTGAATCCATCTCACCAAGTCATTTGCTGTAATTAACTTACAAACAAATCCGTTTTGACTTACACTTTAAGTCGACTTTCTAATGTATTGCTCATTTTCTATCGGAAAATCACCCTAAAAATCAAAACTTTCCGGCAAAATAACTGCTGATCCAGCATCATTCAATGTCTCGCTTTTTTTCGCGAATCGCCATGCCAATCGCCAATTTATCGGAGGCTAATGATATTTTACGTTTTATTTCGTTTGTAAATGCCATATTCTGTGAATTTCAGTTGTGTCAGCTGGATTCTGCCTTACGACATTTGGTGATTACTGAGACCGTTTGTATTGAAGGTGGACTGGTGGGGCATTTGACTCGAAACACTCTGCAACGCTCTCTGAAACGACACATTAATTCTCTTGATCTAATCAATTGTACTATTTCACTTGGGTCAGTTTCAGTGATACCTCAATAATTATATTCATTATTCAGTATTGCATTTCAATGAGTTATTTTTCTGTTGTTCATACGGCACCCTTTAAAAAATCATTTTATCCACGTTTCATCAACTTCATAATAGATCGTAATCTCCGGCGACATTTTCACTCGTTTTCGATATCCGTTACTTTCACTAATAAAAGCAGAAATTTGAAATTTCCATAACCTTGAAAGCGAAGATATTTTATTGGAACAGAGTTTCATTGAAAACGATATGTTTCGCAGCTAGCACATTCATCTCAGTAGATGAACGAATCACCGGATGTTCCCGTCAGCTGTTCCAAGCAATTATTCTCATTCCAGGCATCACCTCATCAGCTTTTTCTTTGCTGCTTCAATCAGTTCAAACGAGATCATTCCTATGGAATTACTTTCATAGAAGTCATAACATTTCGATAACCAGTTGCGGCTCCTCATATCATATGAATTCAAATTCCGAATTTGAAAGCAGTTGCAGTTTTGAAGAGTTCGCGAATTTTTTGCGACGTCTTCGAGTTCGGAACTTCACGTTGATCGACTGCACGATAGAGGATGTTCAACTGATCGGTGATCCGTTATTTGAGATCAACAAACAAATCGCTTTCGTTGATGTACAATTCTCTCATCTTCAACAGTCCGTTTCCAACTCGTTAACTGATGTTCAGCGATTCATATAACCAAGCGATGTTTTTTACCCAAATCATCCTCATGAATATGTTTTATGCCACGTTAAGTGCTCAGAATTCGAAATTCATGAATTAAAATCAAATTAAATGAGAAGTCTGACTCTTTCCGATAGAAGTTTTGATATCTGCGGGACTTGATACATCGTTTGTTTCCACGACAGTTTAATTGCTAGAAAATTGTTTCAGTTGTCCTCTGCTAACGGATCGCACCCTCAAAGAATGGGCTGATTCGTTGAGTTGGCCTCAAACTATTCTGTTGCGGACATTGCATAGCAATATCACTCGTCAAGGGGTTGCTACAATGATAGAGGTTTGATCTTTTTGGATTGTTTCGATCTTCCATAAATCTGACACTCTTGCTCACAGAAGATTGTTAGCACGTAAGTTGTACAAGATAGCATCTGAACGATGAAACCTAAAAATGTGGATAATCCCACATATCATTACGTGTTTTAATGTAATACTGAAGATTCAATCTCTGTATGCCACTTCATATGTTATCAACGTGAATTTACAATTACAGTTTATGCGCTGTTAATATGAGAAATACCGTATTTATTCAGTCGTTTACACGCTAAAGAATGGTACCTAGGTATTTATCTCATTGATACCTTTAGTTGTAGCTGAAATTATGAGTTTTAGACCGTATGCATTGATCAGTTACCATCTGTAAGCAGTGTCACATTACAATTACCAGCTGCAGCTACATCTGTAGGCTCTCCCATTGGTCAAACTATCCCTGAATCATTTCAGTTGATAATTTTGTGCTTTAGAGTTATATACGATGGTGTAAGAAACAACGAGCCCAACCCATCCCACGCTTACGTTCATCACAATCACTGCTGTGGAATTTTGGTACGATTGACGGTGATGTGAAGCAGCTGGAAAATGCAATAGGAAAATTGAAAAAGTGCATGAAAATTACTGTAATTGAAGCATCAGAAGAGCAATTCGCGGCGATCATTCGTTTCGATCGCTCATCTCCGGTTCTTCACTTGAGAACTTCTTTTACCAGTAGGAAGAGAAAGTGAGTTGATGATAAAGTTCCGATTCTGAGGTTGTCTGTCATATTCTCATGAGCTTCTAAGAATCTTAACTTCTTATCTTTGATGAGAAATCAAAACTTTTGAGACAGCTGAATGGAAATTCCAGTGAATCTCCTCATAGCTTCATAGAATGTTGACTGTAGAATGGAAAAAGTGAGTAAATACCTAAACTGAAAGCGAATATTTTTAAGAGATGATAAAGACCAGATACTAAAAATGTTCAGATGTATTCATCGTTTAATGAACTTAATGTATATAATAGGAGATTATCTCAGAGCAATGATAATATTACACTTGATTATTCTATCGAAAATAATGATAATAATGTTGTTTATAGTAAATTCTGTAATAATGATAATAACTTATTATTTTGAAAAAGTATTTGATCTTATATGGTGATTGTTTTAGAAATTATTTTTGTAATCTCGTTTGAGAGATGTTAATATATTGTTCTATTGTTGCATATGGTTTGGTTGATTATGTTTATTCAATTATTGTCTTTAGTTTGATAATCAAACCAAAGAAAGACTTGCTACCCATGTCATATGTTCTCTATATAATCAAATGAGCAATCTCCTGGAATATTTTTCCGAGTTTTTAATTTATTGCCTTCAGAGAGATGCTTACTGTAAAGTAATTCAAGCAAGTATATTGGTGTATTTAGTGGATTATTTGGTTTCTAATAATGCTTGATAGTTATGTTTTTGTAGCTAATCATTCATATGTAACTTTTCCTGATCTTTTATCTGAATTGTAAATGGACTCTCATTCAGACTACCTTTTTATTTCGAACATGTATATGGAATGGATTTTCTATCTTATTCTGCACTATATTCTGTTCTATTTCGAATGTGTATATGTGGAATGCTTTATTCCTTTATATGTAAATGTGTCACTGAGGGATATCCACCTGAGATGACGGAATTCCCAAGTGGATCACACTATATTTTGCTTTGTGTGTAATATAAATGAGATATATTCTTCCCAGTCAATGGGTAAATGCTGTATCAAATGTACTTCTCTACAAATATATAATCTTAAAATACCTTAAGTAGACTTGTACTACGCCTTCCAGCTCGATAAACCTACATTATTTTGAATCCTTCCACCAGACGTCTTAATTTTTGGTCATAGCATAATGCAGCACATCATTACAGTCACAATTTTTTATTTATTTCCTCAAAATCGGCAGTTTCAATTTCAATTTTAAAATATTTCCAATCGTCACCTTACAAGACAAAGCAAATAATAACAACATCTCACAATCAGAAAACAAACAGAAGAAATGTAAATGGTAAACTTAAATAAATGAGTAAAAAATTGTTTTACCAAATTGTAAAGATAAACAAATGAAGGTATTAAATAAAGTCAATAACAGGTAGCAAATACGATTCATAACAACGATAAAAAAATATCAAAAGTAGCAATATCAACGTTGAAGGTACACGAATGAAGAATGAAGCTATAATGAATGTGTAACAAAACTGATTACAATTAAAGCAAAACGTTCTTTTAACATTCATACACTATATTTTAGTTGATACATCGGTACTTACTAAAGAATTCATCCACAAACACTATTTTAAAAAAAATTTCAGTCAAGGATTTATATAGAAAAACACCGATAATCTGAGAACTTGATACAATCAAAAATTTAATCAACATATTTCGAGTGATAATAATGGTAACGATAAAAGATAAATACACACTGATCTCTGTCAGTTTCACGTAGGATCATACACGTAATACCTCAAACAACCAACATCAGCAACCAAAAAATCATTATAAATCAATGGAGAACTAAAATTTTACAAATGTTATGGGCAAAAGAGATGGATGAGTTTAGAAGAATTTATCATCTGATTACAAATCTATTGAATATTCCAAAGTTTCTATGAGAAATTCCTTTCAAAAATCTCTGCCAAATACTCCTCGGATTATTTTTCATTAAGATTTTCCGCCCTGAATT